CCCAACCCCCCCCCCCCCCCCGCAAATAACAGGTGCTAATGCTAACTGATGATGCCCAGGCTATAGACGAGGCAGAGGCACCTCCCCAAGTATAGGAAAGCTGAGGTGCAGTGTGGTGATGTAGGCCTGTAGTCCTAGCACTCGGCAGGCTGAAGCAGGAGGATCTTGAATTCAAGGCCAGTTTGTAATGTATAGTCAGACCTTGTCTGAAAAAAAAAGGGGGGGGGAGAAAGAAAGAAAGAGAATGCCGGCTCATGCCTTTAGTCCCAGCACTCGGGGGGCAGAGGCAGGCGAAACTCTGTGCATTCGAGGCCAGTCTGGTCTACATAGTGAATCCAGGCCAGTTGGGGTTACAGGGAGACCCTGTCTCAAAAAGACCAAAAAAAAAAAAAAAGAGAGAGAGAAGGAAGGAAGGAAAAAAAGAAACTGAAAATCAAGTCAGGAGGTTTAGTCATGGGCAGGCACTTGGCAGAACTTGGCTTTTAATCCAAGTTCCTACCCTTGAGTCTCTTGCTCCTTTTAGCCCCTGGACTAAAAGTCTACAGAGGCGTGATTCTCTTGGGTAGGAAAGAGGAAGAGCGGGTTTGATGGGGGACTTCTTGGTCACCTTGACCTTCACAAGGGCAGAACCCCAGTGCCTTTATACAGCTTCTCAGCAGTTGGTTTTGACTGAGCAGTAGGGCCATATTGCTCAATGTCAGCCTCCAGTTTATAGGTCATTAACTGCAGCCCTGCTGGGGCTGAGCCAGATGGGCCTCCTCACTCCTCCCCTCTCTGAGTCAGTCAAAATTTCCCCCTCTCTCTCTCTTTCTCTCTCTCTCTCTCTCTCTCTCTCTCTCTCTCTCTCTCTCTCTCTCGCACACACACACCACACACACCACACACACAAACACAATCCCTCAGGGTCCTGCGGCCTGATGTCCTGCAACCATTTTGTGGAGCTCCAGTCCCTTTCTCATAACTCTCAGGCTTCAAGTCTACTGTGTAGCTTCAAGAGATCTTGGGCCAGGCATGGTGGCACATGCCTTTAATCCCAGCTCTTGGGAGGCAGAGGCAGGTAGGTGTGTCTCTGTGAATTTAAGACCAGCCTGGTCTATATAGTGAGTTCCAGGCCTGCCCAGGCTACATAGAAAGACCCAGTCTAAAACATAAAAACAAAACAAAACAAAAAACCCAGGGAGCTGGAAAGATGGCTCAACAGTTAAGAGCATGTACTGGTCTTATAGAGGACTGGAGTTCGGTTCTTGGCACCCACATAAGGCGGCTCACATCTCCTGTATCTCCAGCTTCAGGGGAATCCAACGCTTTTGGCCTCTGGAGGGCACCGGCACTCATGTGCACAAACCCATACACACATATACGTAATTAAAAATACAATAAATATTTAAAAAACAAAAAGCAACAACAACACCCCCCCCCCAGATCTTGGACCTCCCAATGTCCTCTGAGGTTCTGCTTATCCAGCCCAAGTCCATACTCTAGGAACAGGGTGCCCACCTTTGTCTCTCTACAAGTCTGGCTGTTGGGAAGGGTTTTGTTTCATTTTGCTTTTTGAAACAGTCTCTCTCTCTCTCTCTATATATATATATAGTTTTGTCTGACCTTGAGGCTTTGAACTTGAGATCCCCCAGTCTCCTGAGTAATGGGATTATAGGTGTGTGCCACCATGCGTGGTGGAATGTTCTTTTTATTTTATTTATTATTTTTATTTTATGTGAATGAGTGCATTGTCTGCATGTGTGTACATGCACCTGGGTCGTGCAATGTCTGTGGAGGTCAGAAGAAGGCGTTGGATTCCCCCGGAACTGGAGTTACGGATGGTTGTTAGCCACCATGTGGGTGCTGGGAATCAAACCCGTGTCTTCTGCAAGAGCAGCCAGTGCTCTTAACCACTGAGCCATCTCTCCAGCCCCGGTGGAAAGTTCTTGACATTAGCTGAGATCTGCCTGGGAGGCTGGGGTTAGCCCTGATGACTGGACTCCTGTATTTGCCCCTCTTCCCTGTGGAGCATAAACCATTTGAACCCCATTATGCTAAATATCTTATGTTTCTGAGTCCATCTCATCCTCACAGCTGTCTTAAGAAATTTGCATATGAAGAAATAAAGGGGTCTGGCCAGATGACTCAGAGGGTAAAGGTGCTTGCTACCAAGCCTGACTGACAGTCTGACAGTCTGAGTTTGATCCCTGGAACCCACATGGTGGAACGTGAGAATCAACTCTTGCAAGCTGTTCTCTGACCTCTACATGTGTGTCATGGCAGGCACTTGTGCAGGAACACCTCCCACCCCCCACCCCCTCACCCCCACCAGTTAAAAAAAAATCTGTGGGGCTGGAGAGATGGCTCAGCAGTTAAGAGTGCCCGCTGCTCTTGCAGAAGACAGGGGTTCCATTCCCAGCACCCACATGGTGGCTAACAACCATCCATAACTTCAGTTCCAGGGGATCTGATGCTTTCTTCTGACCTCTCTGGGCATTGCACTACACAGATGCACTTACGTACCTGCAGGCAATACACTCATACACATAAATAAAAGAATAATAAAACAATTAAGAAAATAAATTTGCATACATATGATTATTAAGCCTACTGTAAAGAAATTTGAAGACAGTGAATAATTTGTCCCAAGGCCATACATCACAGGGTTAGTTAGAGTGGGCACCTAAAAGAGGCTTTTTAAAAAAAGATAGGCTTTCATGTAGCCCAGGCTGGCCTAGAACTCATTATAGTCAAGGATGACCTTGAACTTTTGATCCTCCTGTCTCCACCTCCTGAGTGCTGGGATTACAGGCATGTGCCATCAGTCTAAATTTATGCAGTGCTGGGAACTGAATCCAGGGCTTTGTGCTTGCTAGGCAAAACACTCTTCCAACCAGGCTACACCCTCAGCTGCGCTGGAAACCAGTCTTCAGTACTGTTCCCACTGGGTCAGTTTTGGGAAACGGGTAGGGGTCTGTTGAGTTAACACTGGAATTAGGAGGCTGTGATAAATTATTACTGCTATCCATGGACATAGAGGCTTACAAAGGACCTGGGAGAGGACACAGAGGGAGAACTCCCAGATGAGGACCAATTCTGGGGTCTTTAAGAATGAGCAGGAGTTGGCCAAATGAAAGGACAAGGTTAACCAGAAGAATCTCTTTGACTAAGTCTATCACCTTGAAAGGGGACAAGCAGGCAGGGCCCCTAGGCACACAGACGCCTAACTGTTTTTCCTTGCTTCCTGGACTCAGATGGAGCTGTGGTATGCATGCTCCAGTTCCCCAGCCCCAGCTGGTACTGGGACACAGTGACCAAGATCTGCGTGTTCCTCTTTGCCTTCGTGGTACCTATCCTCATCATCACCGTGTGCTATGGCCTCATGCTGCTGCGCCTGCGCAGTGTGCGCCTGCTGTCGGGCTCCAAGGAGAAGGACCGAAGCCTGCGGCGCATCACCCGCATGGTGCTGGTGGTGGTGGGCGCCTTCGTGGTGTGCTGGGCGCCTATCCACATCTTCGTCATCGTCTGGACGCTGGTGGACATCGACCGGCGCGACCCGCTTGTGGTGGCTGCGCTGCACCTGTGCATCGCGCTGGGCTACGCCAACAGCAGCCTCAACCCGGTGCTCTACGCCTTCCTGGACGAGAACTTCAAGCGCTGCTTCCGCCAGCTCTGCCGCACGCCCTGCGGCCGCCAGGAACCGGGCAGCTTCAGACGCGCACGCGAAGCCACCGCCCGCGAGCGTGTCACCGCCTGCACCCCCTCCGACGGTCCCGGCGGTGGCGCTGCCGCCTGACCAGGCCAGGCCGGCCGGATTAGCGCCCCTGGGAGGCGGGGGGCCGCCGTCTGGATTGGGGCAGACCACGTAGCGGTGGAGATCCGGCCTGTACAGAGAGGGGTGGCCTCTGGTTTGGGCATGGACTGGGAGATGGAAGGCTGTAGGTTGGGTGGGTGAGAGGATGGCACCCGCGACTCTAAACTGGACCTTATATGAGCAGAGCATCAACCTTAGGACAGTCTCGGATTCTAGGCTTCTGGGCATCTTGGTCCAGCCTAACACCTGAGGATTCAGGAGGAGGAGTAATGGGGACCATAGCTTGAGAATTAAGATGCAAGTTTAGACCTCTGTGTCGTGGGGAGGAGCCCTTTCTCAGGGAAGACGGACAGGGCAGTCAGGCAGGCAACTGCAGCTCAAGATTTGGTTGTGGGAAAAGGGGGTTGGGGGGGGTGCTTAACTTTGGAGAAGAGTCCTGACCCTTACTAACAAGGGACCAAACTCTCTGAGGTTTAGGTCCACTTGACTTTTGAGTTCAAGCTAAGCCTAATGGTGCAGGCCTAGAATCCCAACCACTAGGGAGGCTGAGGCAAGAGGCTGGAAGTTCAAGGCTAGCCTGAGTAATTTAGTGTCTCAATAAAAAGTAAAGAGAGCTGAGAGTGTAGACCACTAGTAGTCCCTGCACTCAACAGATGTGTAGGGTATGGGAGGAATGGGGGTGATAAACCGAATACCTTTTCTTTTAGACAATCCTTTATTTCCTCAGAATGGACAGGAATGCCTTAGTATTGAATAGTGCCCAGTGTCCACAGCCCTGTGCCCTTGAAGAACTCAGGGCAGGTCGGGGGGGGGGCAGAACCAGTAGCTCTGGGGATAGCGGGAGAGGACCCTCCAAAATAGAGTTCTAATAGGGGCCCTGAGGCTCAGGAAGGAGTGAGAAGGTTCCAAGGCCTCTGAAAAGAAACCCCAGCTACAGTGAATCTTTGTGTCAAGGGATAGAAGGCTGAGGCAGGGCGATGAGCCTGAGGATGGATACTTTGGGGGATTCCAAGGCCCCTGTGTCTGTGACCCAGTCTTGGAGCACAGGCACATTTAGTTTGAGCGCAATGCACAGAACCTGAAAGTGGGTCTCAGAAGTACCAGTGTAGACCCTTGGACCCTTGGTAAGAACCTGGAAGAAATCCTCTCCCCTTCTCCCAACAGCTCCCTGTGGGTCATGTGACTGGTCACCATGACTGTCAGGAACCAGAACTGCCCAATTGGTACCTGACTTTGAAGGCACCAAGGGAAAAGCTTTTGTGGCTGCAGTGCTGGTGTGGCCCTTTGCTCTCTGTCCCTTTGTCCCCAGGTCCCTCATCTCCAGCTACCTCCTTCAAGCCACTGAGGGTGGGTCCACTCAGACTTGGGCATAGACACTCAGGCACTTGCCTCCCCCCACTGCCTCAGCACCCTGCCCGATTCCCTACTGAAGCAGCCTGCTGACATCCTTGTAAAAACAAATTTAACTTTCTTCCTTTTTTGGGACAGATGAAAAGAAATTGACGTCTTTGTCTCAAACAAAAAAGAAAAGAGTGAGAGAGACAATATACCTCTTTTCCTTTTGACAGGCTTTTTTTTTTTTTTTTTTTTTGGAACAAAGGCTGAGAGGCTGTCACTCCAGCAGGGACTGAACCAGGTTCAGGGAGGTGGGAGCTAGTGGTAAGGGTCCTCTCAGTGGGTAAAACACAGCATCTTTCTTAGAATAAAGTCCCCAAAAGCCCTGGACCTGGAGATATTTTTCCTGTAGGAAATGGTGGGTCCTGGGATGTGGCATCTTCTGACATCAGGATAACCTAGGATCTCTACCCACCTAGCTGACCCTCACCACCCAAATGGATGCCATGACCATAGAGATTTCTGTTCGAGTGTGGTGGTAGTGGTGGGATGGTCATTGTGCAGGGGATACTCCTGGACACTCATCATTTGGGAGTCCTGCTAATGCACTGGGGAGGTGGCAGAAAAAGGGGACAATTAATCGGGGCTGCCTTCTAAAGCAGGGCGTACTGGAGCCAGGACTGTGTATTCATTCTCCTTGCAAGGACTATGCTCCCTTTGCCCCATCCAGGGCAGGCCTGTCTTAGAGCTGCTCTAGTCCACTCATTGTTATCTTGTGGGTGTGAGAGCTGATGTTTTGTTGGAGATAAGAGTCTCAGGTAACCAGGCTTGTCTCAAACTCCTAATCCTCCTGCCCTAGACTCCTGAATGCTGAGATTACAGATGTGATTTTTTTTAAAAACTATTTTATTTATGCCAGGCGTGGTGGTGCACGCCTTTACTCCCAGCACTTGGGAGGCAGAGGCAGGTGGATCTTTGTGAGTTCAAGGCCAGCCTGGTCTACATAGTGAG